TCACTCACTGCAATGAACATTTCTTTGTAGGCAGTGGTCCTTGTGCTAAGTATACTAATTGTGTGTGAGAGAGAGAGAAGCATTTTAAAGGGCATAATGCCATAATGGGAGTCAAGTCCAAAAAATTCATTATTGATCTACTAATTTTTTTTTAAATATACAACAATGTAATATTATATTATAATATATCATTTTATTACAGAGAAAGATGTATAAACATTACATACAACTAACATATACAGATATAAAAATACCGAGAACTTATCGAGAAAAAACTTACACATAAAAGAGACCACCCAAAAGAATATTTCCCTTTGGTGAGCATCAACCTTCCCCCATTAAGTTTAGCGTTACTTCAACCTAACGTAATCATGAACAAGTTCACGTTATTAAACTTTTAAAAAGACGGTTAACCTCTAAATAAATAATCAACTTGTAAATTTCTAACAGGCTCTCGCTCTCAATTTGTAAAATTCGATTATATAATCCACAAATTGGATGACATGAGCTTTGGACTGAGATTACATTGTCTATGTAAAGTGCAAATCACCATCTCTTCCAAAATTAGCAAGCTCATAGCGTTGGTTGTTTGTATATTTATTTTTATGTTTGGGGACGGTTTAAAGTTTTCAATACGTGGCTAAATCCTCAAATTCCATTCAACTTCGAATTTCTAAAAAACTACATAATTTTTTTTATATTTTTTTTTTCTTTTGGGTTGAAATTACTTAATTTGATCAAACTTTATGAAACTTGACAGAATTTTCACCGAGTCGATAAATTAACAGTAGAAGAATCACCTTGTATATTTTGATTTTAATATTGAATCAATCTCTTTAACAAATAGAAGGGGAGAATTTAGAACCAACCTAGAACTAGATGGCATTATCAAATTCATTGTAACAAAAAGTTGAGCTGGTCAAGACTCTTGAACCTTAGTAAAATATAAGTATCAAATCGTATGGGACAAACATTCTTGTATTGGAAATGAGTTAGAATGACATAGTCCCCTTAGCATGAATCTCCCACGCATGCACACCTAACCAAAATGAGCAATAGACTAACTTTTGTTTAAATAAGAGATGAAAAATACCACGTGTATAATATATGATGGTTATTAAATCACATCATTCTCTTTTCCGAGGATTTAAAAATTTTTAGATTTTATTTAAAAGAAAAGTAATATCCAGAAGGACCAGAACCACCATCTATATAATAAAGTAGCTTATAATTCAAATTTCAAAAGATAAATAAAATGATTTTTACTTTTCGCGGTTGAGATAACTTTAAATTTTATTTTAAAGTTAATCTAACGGTTAATATTAACACCCTAAATTTAATAGAAAAAATAGACCCCTAAGGATGTGTTTGGAATAATTTTTTAAAAGTACTTCTAAAAATAAATTAATTTATTTTCAAAAAATAATTATATTACCTGCGTATTATGCCGTTGCCCAACGAATACGACCATCCCTACTATTATGATCAACAAGATCTATGTGTAGGGACTTGCGATAAGCCCGTTATTTTTTGTAAGCACAGTCTCCTTGTAGTTTCAGTGAGTAATCCTCAGTGTCTATTGTTCTCGTCATTTTACCGGACCTCGAGTTATTCTACCCAAATAAACTTGTTTGCATAATTGGGTTTAATGCATCCCCGGTTAAGATATACGTCCCACCCCTTGGTGCTGAAAATCCAATATAATTTGTTATTTCTTTTTGATTTTTATTATACTCTTTCTTTTAATTGTTTGAGATTTTCACCTTTATGACAAGAAGGTGATGTTGGGGTAGGTCCTCTCAGAATTATATTGGAAAAAGTCTTTCTTCCTTTTTTTTTTATTATCTTTTTGGGTTAATTACACTGAACATCCCAAAATATAGAGTTTGTTTCATTTTAATCTCTAATATTTGAATTACATCATTTTAGTTGTTGAAATATTAAATATGTTTTTATGTGATCCCTCAATCAAGAAATATTCAAGTTGTTACCGATTTTTTTATCATAAATATGTCACGTGATATTTAAAATATGGGTAAAAAATAATTTGAGTTGTTCTTGACCAAAATTTGAATAGTTCTTGACACAAAATGTGTAATATGGGTCAAGATTTGGATAGTTCTTTAACCAAAATTTTTGTAGAAATTTGGTCAAGCGTTATTCCAAATTATTTTTTTACATATTTTTAAGTATTATATAATAAGTTTATAAATTAAAAATCATTAGTAGTTTGGATGTTATTTGTTTGATGGACCACATAAAAATATACTCTTTCCGTTCTTAAATATCTGTCATTTTATACAATTTTTTTTGTTTTATAATATCTGTCGTGTAATGAAATCAACGCATAATTAATATTTTTTTTTTCAAATTTATCCTTAACTTTTCAGTACATTAGATTAGGTGGAGGCTAAGTGTCTTTCATATTCTTTTCTTTTCCAGTACTTATTAATAAGGATATTTTAGTTTTGTGTAATTATTTTTTACTTATATTAAAGCTATTTAATAGCTTCCTTAGATTCTGTGCAAAAATCTTAAACGAAATATATTTAGGAACGGAGGGATTATTTAATACTTCAGCGATTTAATAATGTAATTAAAATATTGAGAATAAAAATGAGATAAATTTTATATATCGGAGATTTTAGTGCAATTAATTTTTTTTTTTCTTCGAGATGCATGTCCTGAATTGGTCAATGGTTATAGGACTCGGAAAGGTCAACCGAACCGCAATGAACAGAGGATTAAGGCGGACATGTCTAGGTCCCATTAACGGCCAATTTCGGTCAATAGGGTCTTTATATTTGTCGATTGATCTTTGATTAATGGAAAGCCTACCAAATTCTCTGTTGTATGTAGGCACTGCCAAACCGCGTGCTTTTCTATATCGAATAAAAGCAACTCAGTCACCCTCTCCTCCTTCTCTCTCTACCGTTTCTTGCATCAACTAACCTCTGTTCACAAGTCTTCGGTCGTCTTTTATCAACAATCTTCCCTTGGACGACCAATACTGGGTTTTGTCTAACACACTTGATCTCTCTATTAAAACTTCTGGTTTTCAGCTAAGAAGGTATGGATTCTTTGTCAATATTCATGGGTCTTTGGCGGTTTTGAGTTATTTTGTTGCTTTGTTATCTTATATTGTTTGGTTTCGATTCTTGGGGTTTTGAGGGTTTTTTTAGTGGTTTGTGTTTGTGGGTTTTGTTTCTTTGGTGATAGATGGGTGATTATCACTTGTTATGGCTGTTTATTGGCTTTTAGATTTCTTGCTCAATCATGTTCTTAATTGGCTTGAATTCTTGGGTTTTTTTGGTATTTTGTTGAGTCTTATTGGGTTTGAATTTGTGGATGTTGTTAGTTTAAAGTTTCTGGAGACCCTTTGGATCCTATTGTATATGGGTATTGATCAAGTTTCATGGTTGTTTGCTAATTTTATGAAGTACTGCAGTATGGCGTAATCCTGTTAATTCTGGCCTTTGAGACTACTCTGCTGTCGCTGGGTTTGGTACTATCAATTTTTTATAGGCGTTTTCGGTTTTGTTTGGTATTTCCCTTTGTTTTCGTTTATTCTCTTCCTTTTTCTCATACCTTTTTTTTGAGGGGTTCTAATCATATCTTGCTAATTAACTTGTTAACGCGAGGTTCTATGGTTACTGAAAACCTTGATGAATTCACATTTTATTAGGCATGTTCTTTTTAAATAAAAAATTATAGTATTTTGTATCCAACAGCATTGGGTAATAACTAAGACTTGTAAACCAGTTTCCTCTTTCATGTATTGGTATGTGAGGTTATGCAAACTTTGAAATGTTATTATCCATTGCCAAAAAAGTTGGACAAAAGAATCCACCGGGCATTTCCAGCCGAAATATCATATTTGCATTGTCAAGTCATCCAAAACATGATGACCATTTCCACATTGACCTGTTGCTGCTTGCAAGATATATCTCCCACCGATGACATTGTAACTACTGTTTATATTTCTTTAACTATCAACCCAGGAAGCACAAACAGAGTGTCGGACATGGACACAAACACGGACATGCTAGAATGAGTGTTCAATTTTTTTGTTGTTAATTTTTTTTCCGGACATGCTAGGGACACGCGGCTGACATGTTAAAGACACGTTAGGGATGTATGACTTGGACATGGTTTTAGATTTTTTTTTTTTAAAAATTTTTGAGAACGTTTTAGGTAACTTTATTATTAGGAGTTAGCTTTGTAATTTTAAAGAAATGGGTCAAAATCATAATATAAAAGGAGTTATAATCACTATATTAAACATAGGACATGAATAGAAAATAATTTTGGATACGAATATAAAATTATATACAAATGACATAAACTTTTAACATGAAAGTAATATGAGAAAAAATGGGTCTATAAAATTGAGGTTCTTTGAAATTGATGAAAATTAGTGTTACGAAGTAAAATATTTTTGAAAATGAAAGATGTAGTTGTCATTGATTGTTGGATCATAAACATTAATGTTTAATGTGTGTCGGTATATTTTATATTGTATTTTTATATAGTGATATTATGATGTGAATTTTTAGAATTAGTGGAAGGATGAATTGAAAGATTATTATGATAATATTTTTATTTATAACATGATTATATATGAATACGTATTATTGGAAGTATCTTCAACGTGTCCGTGTCCTACTTTTTTAAAAAATTTATTGTCGGCGTGTCCGTGTCGTGTCGTATTCGTGTCCATGCTTCTTAGCTATTGACTAGTGCAATTTGTGCCCACATAAAAGGAATTTAAAACCTCCCCCCGCCAAAATTTCAGGCTACAAAGAATGGAAGAATTTATTTTTATACGGTCAACGAACTTTTTTGTTTGATTTTGGTTTAGTGTTATTGTGCGCTATTTCATCTTGGAGAGTGCATCTTGTTCATCAAATGATGTTAGTTGTCCCTTTATAACTGTAGTGGGTCCTCCATTGCTGCCCTCAAGATGTTCTCATTGCTTGATTCTGGTAAAAGACCCAAAAATGGTTCATAAAGCTGACTTGGTAATTATCGGCATCTCTGTTGGTGTGGCTGTTGGCATTGTTATCGCATGTCTTGTGTTTTTCGGAGTCCGATGGTACAAAAAGCGTGGTCATCTTCAGCGGTGTGGCAATGAGCGCTCTATAGCAATTCTTCCCATCCGCACAAATGGCTTAGGTACAAGTGTTGACGTAAGTGCATGTCTCTCGAATTCTGTGGCTGTTAAGGGAGCAGATGATTCTGTGAAAAACTCTCAGCACTCTTGGTGGAGTTCCCGGAGTAAGGACCGGCTTGCTTCAGCTTCCGGCATACCAAGATACTTGTACAAGTATGTAATATCTACTCTAGGCAAGTTTTGAACTTCTTGAATTAGTATACATAACTTATCTGTATTCTATAGCCCTTGTAAATATAACTTTGGTTGATACTTCTTAATACAGCATGACAACTGAGATAAGTGCTCGAAAGTTTTACTTTTCTGGTTATTGCTTATTGCCTGGCTAACTTATGATCAATTAACGTTTGATTTTGTAGTTTGAAATTTTAGCATCTACCATGTTATCTGTTTGTGCCAATTGTTCAAGGCAACACTGGTGTCTCTTCAAAATGATTTATTTTATTTGATTCTCTCAGCATATTTTGGTCAAAAAGAATTGCATCTTATTTGCTAAACTACATTACTTGCATGCTAGCATCTTGTGTTGTTCTCTACTAGCACCATATCTGACAATAAACTCTTCTTCAGTGAACCATCTTTGGAACACATTCACTACATTAAGGTTGAATGCAACAAGTCAACTAAAGGGAAAAAAAGGCCTCTATGTTGACCAACTATCTCAAATAAATCTGTTTTTGTGATGATACTGACTCTTTCAGTAGAGCATAAATTGACAATTAGCAAAGATACTTTACCTTAGAATGTAACGCAATGTCCATAGGCTGTCTTTGGATAATTACACCCACACCACACATCCACACATAATATGCAGGGAGATGGAAATTTTGAAGTAAGTAACGAATTTAAGTGGGGTATTTGAACACGGCTTCAGTAAGCAACCACATCCTTATACACTTTACCAATGTATGTGGCATAAGCAAATACATATTCATATCGGTACATCAGAATGCCATATTTGTATGACATTAAGCAGGGTCTGATGATGTGCTTGATGTAACCCCACATGCTACTTCAGGGACATCCAGAGATCCACTCAGAACTTCACAACTATTTTGGGACAAGGATCTTTTGGTCCAGTTTATAAAGCTATAATGCCTGCGGGTGAAGTAGTTGCCGTTAAGGTTCTTGCTTCTAATTCAAAACAAGGAGAGAAGGAGTTCCATACAGAGGTACGGGCGGAATCAACTACTTGGTCATAGGAAGAATGAATCTTGATTTATCCTTCTTGAATGATATGGGAAAGAAAAGATGTGTCTCGATATATTTTCTGGCATATCTTTACAGCTTTTTATGTATTGTGAAAATTAGATGAGGCTACTAAAACATCTGCACGTGTTCAACTTCAAATCTGCAAGATAATCAAGCACTAATTATAAAGGTAGCATTTTAAGAACTGTTTTCAAAATTAGGAAAAAGTGAAACAAAAACAGTAATTAAGGCTCAATAAGCCATGCATTACCTATATTGGGCATCTGCAATTTAGTTTTGGATGTATTAAAATCACCTCCACATATTATCTGAGCTCTCTTTAACTAAAGTCAAAGCTTGTTGAGTTTATATAAATTGGTCTAGTTTTTTTTGCCAGGTATCTCTCCTAGGAAGGCTGCATCACCGAAATTTGGTGAACTTGGTTGGATATTGTGTAGATAAAGGCCAACGCATGTTAATTTATCAGTTCATGAGTAATGGAAGCTTGGCGAACCTTCTATATAGTAAGTTAGACTGTCCATTCTCTAGTTGATCTTCATTACTTTTGTTAGTATGGTATTTCCACATGAATAAGTCCTTGGTATTTTTAGTTGTTTATGAGCTTGTTGTTTGAGAGAGCGATTGAGTTGGAAGTTTGATATCATCACATGTTTTGTGGTGGTTCATAATTGTTGGTATAATGTATGACCTCAGCATATATGGTGTATAAAATTCTTTGTTCTTGTAATCCATTTTCTTAAAACCTGGTCTTCTGTGTGATAAAGGTAATTCTTGAAATTGAGCTTGTATTTATCTAGGCAACAGATGCCTTTGTGCTTAAGAATTGAGCCATTGGACACGAGGGATATCAATTGTGGAATGACACTTTACACTTTTTACATTGTGATGGCAGTGATGCTGCTCCAACTCTTGTAACATTTTCTGCAAAGGGGGACGAGGAATGACCATATAAGTTACGGGGGCATTGAAGGGCCATCCCCACACACAAAGACCAAAAAAAAGAAAAAAAACCCTAAGCTTTGTACAATTTGTACGGTTAAACACAATGTCATAGCCCTATTGCTTGCCAGTTCAAGGATAGAATTTTCAATCACTTCATTGTCTGTCTTGTGAATGTAGGTAAGTTGAAACAATTCTAAAAACCGTGGATCAGATTCTGCCACTTTTTTTATTTAATGGAAATGTAAACTATTGACCAAATCTTAGCAAGTTTGTGGTTGGAGTTGACATACCTTTTTTGTAAATTGTGATGGCATAGAAATGAGCTTCCTTTGTGTTCTATTTTAAAGTGAATTAAAATAATCCTGCTGCTCACAGACGTCGGTGAAGAGGAGAGAGCTTTGAGTTGGGAAGAAAGGCTCCAAATTGCACTCGATATATCACATGGAATTGAATATCTTCATGATGGGTAAGCTGAGTAACAATGGTATCTGTTAGATTTCTTTCCCATGTAGAAGCAGTTCTTTGATTCTTTCTTACATAGAGTAATTCTTGGAACAGGCAGTCCCACCTGTCATACATCGTGATTTGAAGTCTGCTAATATATTGCTAGACCATTCCATGAGAGCAAAGGTAAGCTAGTTGCATTTGGATGTTTCTGTTTCAAGCCATTTACTATCCGATCAAATAAATCTAATAAAGTCGTTAAAATGAGGTTCTGAAACCAGTGGTGCTACGTCTAGTTCAGTGTGGTCAGTTGATCCCACTGAACGTAGAAAAAACCAGATAGAGATAAAAAAATTTAGAAGTTTTTGGTGGATTTGCTAGTGTAATCCGGTCAGGTGATTAAAAAAATATAGAAAAATAGTAAATTGAGATCAATCAATTCTTTTTATTTAGTAGGATCTATGGTCAGTCCCGCACAGCACGGCTTCGTGCTTTTCATGAATGTGTCTACCCCTCCGCTTATATGAGTTTGACTAGCCTTGCTTCTGACTCCCTATGAGCCGTTTTATGACTTGATGTTTTTGGAGTATCGGTGGGACATGGGGGCCTCAGCTCATGCATCACCTCTGCTATCCCACTTCCTTCTATTCAAAAGACGATTAGCCCTTAAACAAAAAACGCCCATCGGCCATGCTCGTAAAGCACAACTTTGGGCGTGTTCTAGCTATGTAAACCAATCACTAGATCCCTTTCGAGTTTTGGCTTGGTAGGGGTCGCCCGGAATGAAATTGGCTTAAGAAAAGCAAGCAACTGTTGGCCCCATTCGTTTGAGCTAACTTGTTCCTGATCAACCACATGAATAGAGAAAAATCACCCCCCCCCCCCCCCCCCAACTCCTCGTCAGTCCCCCTTCCCCATCAGACTGACCCACAGAAGAAAATCCCAGGTGCCGCCACTGTGTATGTATTGCAATGATTTATTGACATGAAAAGTAGGTGTTATCTGTGTAGATAATGGATACCTGCATATCCATGCTTTCTTAGAATGGCAGGTAACGTCTGGCATGTCTACCTGTGTTTTGATGGTTCTCCCTTCCTCCGTGTAAGTAGGTTGCTGATTTTGGGCTGTCCAAGGAAGAGATTTTTGATGGCTGCAATTCGGGCCTTAAAGGTACCTATGGCTACATAGATCCCGTGTACATAGCAACAAACAAGTTCACAATGAAGAGTGACATCTATAGTTTTGGTATTATTCTATTTGAACTCATCACGGCCATCCATCCACAACAAAACTTAATGGAATATGTCAATCTTGTAAGTTCTTTGATATTCACATCAGATTTCATCTCTTGTGATGCTTTCTCTGCTATATATTCTAACTTTGTTCCCTTTTTGTTATTACTCTTTAAGGCGGCTATGAGTTCGGATGGTGTGGATGAAATACTTGACAATAAACTTGTTGGGGAATGTAACCCCGAAGAAGTAAGGAGACTGGCTAGCATTGCTCACAAATGCTTGCACAAAACACCCAAAAAGCGCCCGTCAATTGCAGAAATTTCACAGGCTATACTAAAGATACAACAGAGGCGTCTTGTGAGAGAAGATGCTATTTCTTTTGCGGGAGACGATATTTCAGGAGTGATGAGCCGGATAGAGCATCAACAAGTGGAGCTTAGGAAAATGACCAGCATAGATGAGAGGGTAACTGAATGACAGTTATTTTTCCCCTTGCTTTTTTTTTTTTTTCCTTCAAATTTTCTTTTTCACTGCACCCTGTGATTTGCTCAAATAGAACCGGCGATAGAACACATCACAAGGTATATGTAAAAGTACAAATGAGCTGCTTCTACAGAATGAGTATTCTAGAGATTATGAATGCTTGATATTGGCAAAGGTTCTACCCCTTACATGGGTCATTGCTTTCCCCTTGACACACACAGACCTTTTGAAGTTCTTATTCCTGGGGTTGATAATTTAGCGGAGTTATTCGAGTTTGATTTGGATAGGACTCGATTCAAGTTTGCCTTGTGTTCTAGATGAACTAAAAAAATTTTTAAATTTGTTTAGAAAACGAGCCTAAACAGGCTTGGTTTGAGCTCACAAATTCGGCTTGTTTATATGTAATACAGTTGAATTCAAGTTCAATTTGTTTTAAGTTCAGTTCTACTCAAACTTGACACATTTTTTAAATGGGCTAAGTTTGAATAAAATTTTAGGCTCGTTTTAAAAAAAGGCTCGACAAGTTAGATGTGACTTTGTAAAATTTGACTCGAACTCGTAAAGTTCGATTCGATTATTAGTCTTACATATTGCCAATGTAACCTAAGTAGCATTGTTGGTAGTTTTCCAATCGGATTTAGGTATCATTTCACTTGTGCTTCTTTTAAGGGAAGCATTTTGCTTCACTATAATATCGAAAAATAATTTTTTTAAAAATAGAAAGTTTGGTTGTAATAATTGTTCCATTACGATACCAAAAAGTATTTTTTTGGTATTGTACTTTCATTTTTTAACTAATAAAAATGTGTCATGTGTATAGTTTTTTTATTTCATAATTTTTTTTCACTTTTTTTAATTTATTTTTACTAATTATTACAAATCATCTAATTCAAAAATAATGACGGGAATTGACGGAGGTACGCATATAAAATAAAAAGCACCTAATGTTTAATTATCAATAATAAATAATAAATAATATATTACAGCTATTCTATTATGGAATCATCTACTTTGTACTGGATCTTGCAGAAAATTACAAAATTACCAGCTTAACATTAAAAAAAAGGAAAAAATTCAACCACACTCCTTTTAGTTTATCATATCTTCAAGGACACCCTCTTTAATTTCTGAATCTTCAATAACACTCTTGTTAGATTAAAAATATTAAGTAGAATGCAATTTTACTAAATTGCCCATGATATATTTGACGACAAACGTCATCCACACCCCCTCTAGATAAACATATCTTCAATGAGATCTCCTTTAGATAAGTATATTTTCAATGAGATCCCTTCTGTTTTCTAATTTTTTTTACATAATTAAATTTGAACTGATTAAAATTAGATTCAAACTAATTAAAATTTATTTTTTTACATATTAAAATTTGCGTCAATTAAAAATTATATTTTTTTTACGTATTAGAATTTGGACTAATTAAAATTTTGTTTGAGCCAATTAAAAATTATTTTAATCTACTCAAATCAAATTTTAATTAATTCGCATTAAATTTTAATCAGCCCAAATTTTAATATATAAAAATATATTAATTTTAATTGACTTAAATTTTAATAAATATAATTTTAATTGACACTAATTTTAATAAGTAAAAAAACATAAATTTTAATCGACTTGAAAGATAATTTTAATCAGCGCTAACAACTCGGGTAAAGTTCAAATCGACTCAAATTATAATATGTCAAATAAAATTTTAATAGGTTCGATTTTTTTAAAAAATTTACGAATTAGTAAATAAAAATTAGTATTTACTAACAAATTATTTACTAAAATTGTTATTTATAATTTTTTAAAAATTTTAACAGCTTGAATTTTAATAAAATTTAATGTAAAAAGATTACTTTAGGTTATGTAGGGGCATTTTTGGTATTTTTGATGAATTATTTTTGTTAGAAATAGTAATTTAATGGTAAGGGGTGTTAGTGATGTTTAAATTAAACTAGAAGAGGTGTCATTGAAGATTCAAAAATTAGAGGGGTGTCCTTGAAAATATGATAAGCTAAAGGGGATGTCATTGAAATTTTCCCTAAAAAAAAAAAAGGATCTAAGCAGCATGACTCAACCAAAAAAAACAGACAAGGGACTGAGGGAGTAGTTAAATAATTAGCACTGCACATGCCTATTTTTGAATAAATTATAAAAGCAACTGACAGGAAAATATTAAATTAAATTAATAATAGGATTTTGCTATTTTTTCTTTTTCCACTGAAGCAGAGCTTGTCTTTTTCCTCCAAATAAGTGTTGTCAATCATTTAAGGCTTTGTTAATGATGAAGATGGAAAGGGATAAATATAGCACTGCAAGAATTATTTACATTAGTTGTATGTGATACTTGCCATTTGCTTCTAATAATTGTACATACACCCTTCTATAGCTAAGGATTTTGTAACACCCAAATGAAGCTGAAAATATGAAACCAGATAAAATATATGATAGCGACCCGGGTTTATTTAAGTGGTTAATAAATTAGACCTAAATAGCGGTTTTAATCTGTCTCGTTATATAGTGGTCAAGTCTAACTAGTTACGTAAATGATTTTTAGAATTCATCCTGTTTAGTTAAATTGTAAATTCATCTTGATACATGAAAGACGAGTTAATTAGTAAAAACTTTATTAATTCAACTATGACGTGAGATCACTTACGAAAATACTAATGAAAACTTGTAAAAATATTTATGAACATGCACATAAGAGGAAAAGGTATTTGGAACTCGAAAGTATTTAAATATAAGAGTTAGAAGTAAAAAAAAATTATAAAAAGTAATTTTTTACCCTTTCAAGTTTAATCGATCAGGGTAGGATAAATCAAGTGGTAATGGAACGAGATGTAAATTTAAACGTCCTGAATTCGAATATTAAAAATTTTTTGGAACCAGACTATGAGAGATTTATCGTTTATGAATACCCTAAATCCAACGTAGATGACTTACTTTTAACTAAATTGAAAAAAAAATTAATAGAGGTGTGCATAAGTTGTACCCGAATATCTCCGTCAAAAAAAATATTAATGGGACAAAGTTGGTGAGCCGTCGTGTGTGTCTTTTGTAATTACTCCTAAAAAAATATTTAAAAAATTAAAGAAATATATATTATATATATATAAAGAGAGAGAGAGAGAGTTTATATTTATGGCCATTTAAGGGGTAACTTTCAAAACTACATCTACTCCAAAGCTGGTAAGTCCTTCAGGCCATCTTCCAAGTGAAGCAATAAATCTCCCAACCGTTCTCCTGCCTAAATAATTGCATTCACTTATTAGGATTTAGAAAACTGTCCCACCATGGGATAGAAAAAGTCAAATAAATAAAATAAAAAATAGAGAAATCCAAATTTCTAGGTCACAAGTTCTATTATTCGCACGTCTTCTTCTTTTTTTGGTAAGATATTAAATTTTCTTTTGAGCATATCCAATTATTTTACTGAAAAGTTTGATATAATTCAAAAAAGTAGTTCAAATGATAATAAGTACGAGTTTTAGATTTAGACGTGTTGAATTTGAATCTTGACAATTGTTTGAAATGTTTATATGAAAGATTTATCTCTTATGAATAGTTTAGTTTAAGTACAGATTACCTGACTTTGACTAGACCGATGAAATGATTAATCCAGATATGACTAAGCTAAAAAATAATTTATATTTTTATCACTGTAACATTTGAAAATGGTTAGATATCTATAATTCTATCCAACAAATAAAGATTCTTTTTGCGACTCAGTCAAATCCTAAATATCCAAATTACGATGAAACAACTTTTATGGTTACACTAACGCCAACTTCTGTCGATATAATATAAATATGGTATCTATGATTTTTAATTTGACTAATTTTTATTATTTTTCTATGATCACAAAAAAAGAAAAGAAAATCTATTAATATTAATTATTTTTTTTTCCTTATGATATCAAGAAGATAGTTTTGGATAAACATATCCATTGTCCTTTTTTTTTTTTTTTGAATTTATTGCCCATAAAATATCTCCTCGGATCTTTCTCTTACAACACCCATATGGACCACTATACACCCATATGGACCACTATCAGAAAAGGACGGAGACTCCATAGTCCACAGGTGCCATATCCGGAGCTTTGCAAAAAGCTTTCATATCACGTGACAAATGAACCGAGCCCACGTGACTCCTTCCCATAAAATTGTCAAACAGAGAGGTATTTGATTCACGCGCCTCTTCTGCTGGTAAGACAGCGTCAGGACAATTTTGTTTTCTGTTTTTGAGAAGGTAGTGAGGTCACGTGATAGAAGAGAGAGTGGGGTAACAACCAGCAATGTACCAGCACACCACCACTATCCTTGGGTCCTCTCTCTCTCTCCGTTTCTCCAACTAAACAATCGCTGTCCTCACACGAGCAGCCTTCTATCTTTGAGTAAGTCTTGACTTTCACTGACCTCTCCTTCTCCTGAAACCCGCGAGAGAGAGAGAGAGAAGTGGTGATTGTGTATTTTTTGTTTGTGTGTAGGTGAAGTGGGTGGGTGTCGATGAAAGGGGAAGGGAAGATGGTGTTCAAGTCTAAGTTGAAGTGGGTTGGCTTAGTTGGGCTAGTTCTTTCTGCTTTCTCTCTCTTCACCCATTTCCTACTGGCTAGATATACAGATGAGGGTATTTCAAACTACAAGTCTTCAGTCACAATCTTCTCTTGGAGACCCATTTTTGAGAATGCAGATCTTTCCACTACGGTAATCTGCTAAACACCCCCTCAAAATTTCATTTCTTTCTCAATTTGTTTTCTCTACATTGAATTTGTATGGGTTGAAGGTGATGTTTATCTTTGTTTTGTTTGAATCTTGTGGTTTTTGTTAATTTCCCCAGATAATAAATCTTATGTGAACCAAGCTCAATGGCAGAACAGTCGCAGTTGCTTGGATTGTTACAATCTTTTCCCGTTCAAAATTAATTTCTGGGGTGCTTATTGACAGAATTTTTATCTTCTTTTTGGTAAACAAAGAGTTTTTTAAACAAAATTGTGCTTCTCTTTTGGGAATATTCTGTTAAATCTGGGTTTTTATGGGGTCATTGATGTGCTTTCAGGTATTCTGTTTTACCTTTAAAGTTTTTCCTTTATACACTCTCTCTCTCTCTCTCATTCATTCTTTCTGGTTTCAAATTTGTTGGTGGATTTTTTTGGGGTTGGTTTTTTTTTGGTTGTGGGTAGGGGTGGGGGGGGGGGGTGGTTGGTGATTATGACTGCTGACAAAGGCCGCCGAGTAGAGCTGATTATCTAATCACTGATCTATCCCTCCGGCCATTTACTTTTTGATCTAATCACACGAAAGCCCTCTCATTTTGATGCATGTGTCATTAGTGTTCAATTTCTCTTTCTTTGTTATGCAGAGTCCATTGTATAGAAGGTTATGGGGTCCTGTACGGCGTCTTGAATCGATACATCCACATGCGAATCCCAGAGGAAACTACGCAGGTTAGATCATGAGTGTCTTGTTAGTGAATATTGGATTAGTTGTTGCTTCAATGAGTTTCTACTACAAAAGAAACGATATTATATTTGCCCCCTGAAACTTAGTCAAACAAATGGTGGAAATAGGAATTTGTATTTACCTTGGGTTGTTATGATAATTTAGTGACAACAATTGTAATTTTTTTTTCTCTAGTAAACAATGCTATTGTAATTCTTGTTCTTTTAGATAACGCGGATGTGTAATAATTTTGGTATGCTATGCAGTATGCACCTTGCATTTACATTCTGCTATATATATAACTTAAGTCTAGTATGGTTTCGGTGAATGAGTTTTACTGTGATAACTATGGATTAGGGGTTCGGGAAACATTGAGTTCTTAGTTGATAGCACAGTCTGTAACTTCTTTTTACAGATCCCGCTCGACAAACTAATGGCTTTCTTTTTGTAAGGATTCGAGGTGGTTTTCACGAGATCAGGAACTCGGTGAGGATACTAGCCTTAACATACCAAACTTGGTTTAAGACCTTATACATAATATTTATTGAGAAGGTCTTGATCTTCTAGATTTGCGATGTTGTTGTGGTTTCTCGTCTTCTCAATGCTACCTTAGTCATTCCTGAGCTCCAATCAACTACAAGCAGCAAGGGAATCAGGTTTCGGTCTTTCCTCGTTCTTTTTGGGTCTAAACCATTAGAGAACTGCCATATAAATTTTACTTGCACTAATTTAATTAAACGGTGATTGTGGTCATTGATATACTCTATTATTTATGTCATGCAGCTCAGAGTTCAAGAGTTTTCCTTACCTCTATGATGAAGATCAGTTCATGGCAGCGTTAATAAAAGATGTCAAAATTGTGAAAACCCTTCCAAAGGAACTCAAAGGAGCAAGGAGAAAGAAAGAAATCCCTTCGTTTAAAGTGCATAGCTCGTTGTCTCCTTATTTTTATCTGCGCCATGTTTTGCCAGTATTAAACAGACATTCGGTGGTTGAATTAGTTGTTTCTGATGGTGGATGCTTGCAGGTAATGATTGCTATCATATATCTTCTTTTAATTGCATAGCTAAACATTGTGAACTTATTGTGATACATTAATGACTCCGAACAGAATTTCAAAGTCAAAACAGCAGCGACCAAATTTTTCATAAGATGGTTCACTAGCCACATGTTCTCCTACCTCCTCGTTCTTTTGTATTTATCTCTCTGGTTATAGATTTGTAACCATGGGGATTTTAAAAATTATTGGTAAAAAAAAGTAGCTCAAAATGTCTTATAGTGACGCTGTTTGGATCAGTGAAAGGACTTAGTTCTGTGGCATATGTGATTTGACGCATGCTTAACTTTTTCTATGTCAATCTTGAGTATTATTTTCCTTTTCCTGATGGTATTTGTATTCTTTTTGTTTTCGCGTGGGTGTACTTAATTGAACGCTGCTCATGGATTGCAACTTTGTTAACTGAAACTTAGAAGCCAAAGGAATTGCTGATTAATCGTTTAAAAGGAGGTGTGGTAATGAGACTGGAAAATACTTTACTTTATAAAATCATAGGTTGAATTTTCTATGATAATGAACTCCAATGCATGCATACATGCAAAACACATGTAAAATTATGTATATATGATATATAAGAGGGATGGAAGTATAAAAATGGTAGAATTCAACAACAATACCCATACTTTGCAAGTAATTCACCTATAACTATAGTAATCATTGTAGTCAACTTTCAAGAGAACTATAATATAGTTTCTTGATATGTTAAAACATAAGCAATTGGTATATGGACACTTCAAATAGGTGAAGTACTTTCATTGGACGAAAATGACTTGTCGATGGGCGTGGGATGTGCATTGAACGTGCCCATTCTCGGATATAACACCAAAATGATGAAAAGGACATGCCTATGGTTAACTACAAGTCCGGAGAGTACCTTTTTTGGTTTCTCCGCTGTATGAGCATATCATTGGAGTGAGGTGCTTCCATCCAACAAATTGTGTTATGTGATCATTTTGCTGTAAGGAATATATGAAAATTGGAGAATTGGATACATTCAACTGTATCTCTATGTACTTAGGTTTAGAGATCAGAAAGCATATGAGTCAGGTGCCAATAGCATTGCTGACCAAGATGGTGGTTACTGGTTAGGAATTAGTTTTGTCCAAGACTTCTGCTGTGTTTCTTGCTTAATTTTTCTAGTCCTTGTGTTCCTTTATTCTAAATGAGGAAAACACGATAGGTATAGTAGCTTTTGGGAACCCAAAGATATTGCAGCTAATGATTTGATTGCGTTTTACTGCAATCTTACATGGAATACATACTTCAGTGTTACATATAATGGGAATATAGTTGTCATGTTAGAATGCTAGAAACTGTGTGCAAGGGCTAGGCTCGATTTGCTCTTCTAATTGGAATGTAGTGTACTACTTCTGATTGATATTAGTCGGGAAGGGAATTAGAGAATGAGAAGCGAAGATGAAGGGGAGAAAAAGAATAAGAGTAGAGCAAAAATAATATCTCAATCGATCAATTAATCAAAGTCTCTCAAAACAGGTATATTAGAGTATCTCCAACCATGACTCAAATTTTTACTCAAATTTAAATTAACATTTGAGTAAAAAGTTTTATTTGATATAAGGGACTCTAATGGACTAATTCATATTTAAAGAATGAGAGACTCAAATTTAAACGAGAGCAAACCCAAATTTAAAAAAAAGTAAGGATGACTATTGGATCTTTAAAAAATAGTAAAATCTCACCATTAAAGATTTGAGTATCCCTTAATTTGAGTAAAAAAATGAGTTTTCCTTGATTTGGTATAAGTTTGAGTCAAGGGTTGGAACAAAGTTTTTAGACTTTTTTACTAAAATTTAAATTTGAGTCTAAATTTGAGTAAGGATTGGAGATGCCCTACATATAGGGAGTACAAAAACCCTAAAACACATAATCCACATGACAAACAATTCCCCAAGAATAAAAATGGCAAATAAGTTATAATCTTGATGTTTACGTCTAATCAATGGGTCTTTGGTCCAATGGTACTTTTTATCTTGTGAAAATTTTGTTTTTTGAGATCAAGAGTTCAAGTCCCTTCTCCACCCCCCACCTCCCACTCCCAAAAAAAAAAAAAAAAAATGTCTACTACAACAAAAGCCATTGAGACAGACAATCTGATTCCCATCACTAATCTCAACCTATAAACATTGTGGATAAATGCACTAACATGTGGAATGTTCCCAAGCAGTGGCGGAGCCAGAAATTTTTTTTAGGGTGGGTATACTAGCATGTTTTAATTTTTTTTTAATAGATCGTAAAAGTTCATAAATTTATATTTATTAAAATTATATTTAATACTTTTTAGACATAAAAAATTAAAAATTGATATACATAACATGAACAAAAAAATAATAATTAAAACTTTTTATTGAGAATATAACTCATTATTATTACTTATAATTGATTATGATATGTTTTTATTATTTGAAAGTCACAAATTAATTTTATCAACAATATTTTTTTTATATATAAATCGCAGTAACAATCTTCCATTTACGATCCTATAATTTATTATATAACGACACACATTTTTATACAATAATGAAATGACCTTGCAATTTTAAAAAATTATAAAATAATATCAATATATTTAAAACATATTCAGACATGTCTAAAGGTTAACAATTATATTAGTTGTATCTAACTTGAGATTTAATTGATGGAGACCCAATGATTTGTGACCATTGGATGGATAGTAGAGTGTATTAAATATTAAGACTCACTATTATACTTAATATCGGAATGTATTAAGTCTTTAAATTAGGTTTCAATAATATTATTCAAAAAGTTAACAATCATTTATGTAGGGGTCTATTTAAATAAATATCACCAGAAGACAATATTAGGGTGGATACAATTAATATGTCTATATTTTATTTCAAAAAATACATCCTTAATATGAAGCAAAAAAAATTGAGGGGGGGGGGGGAGAAGTTTTGTTTTTAATGTTAGGCCAAAAGTTTTATTTTTTTATTAGGTTTGGGTGGATTGTGATAGGTCAAGTATTTGATTTTTTAATAAGTTTGGGTAGATAGTGGTGGGCTCAAATTTTTTTGTTTTAAATGGGCTTAATTTTTTAATTATTTTGGGTAAATAACATGGGTCTAACATTTTTATCTTGAGTTTTAGGTGGGCATAAATAATATATTATACAAATATATAATATATATACCTAACTAATAATAAAAAAAAAGTTTAGGGGGGGCTCTTGCCCACTCAGGCCCATGCCGCCCTCCGCCCCTGTTCCTGAGAGTTTTTACTTTCTAGTTGATGTCACCTTTCAAAGAGATGCGAGAGATTGGTTTTGGGAATAATTATATACTCTTTATGGAATTACAATTTTTTTTGTTTTGGAATATAACTGTGAGGTGCTTATCATGCAGTGTTTTCTTGTTGGTGCTCGCGTAGGACTAGGGAATATAATGGTGTGGTGAGTTTATTTTTTTAGAAATATGATTTTACCCATTGGGCATATTACCGCATGGGTTTGGATTACAGGATTCGAGTACATATCAACTTTTTGATTGAAATGTTTCCTGTCCTTTGATAATAAGATTAACAGGCAGACTACACTTAACTTAGCAGACTAGTTTTCCTGCAACTTCTTCATTTATACTTTTAAGTTTTAAGTATGTGCCTTCATTTTGTCATCATCAACTTTTTTCCTCCATGTCTGATTTTCCCCAGTGGAAACTATATGGTGTATTTAAATTATAATGAAGCTACAATGTCATCAATCATCATACAACCTAATTGAAACTTTCTGTGCCTTATGAATTGATTACTATGTTCACTTCAACTGACACAGGCCATACTTCCTACCCATCTTGAAGAATATCAAAGGCTGAGATGTAGGGTTGCTTTTCATGCCCTGAGGCTCCGGCAGGAGGTCCAGGAACTTGCCACCAAAATTTTGAATAGGTCAATCACATGCTCCCATTATCTATCATTCAATTAAGCTTTGTGTAGGTTCTCTATTTATTTTTGGTGTTCTTACAGGTTGAGGGCTCCTGGAAGGCCATTTATAGCATATGATCCAGGGATGACCAGAGATGCTCTAGCATATTATGGTTGTGCAGAACTTTTCCAGGTACTTGTGTGAAGTCTTGAAGGCATGATTTATAATGCAGTATTGAGCTCTAATTAGAAAGCTTCTGCAGCATTTGACGTATTTTTGTGTCCCTCAATTCTTCTTAAGGACGTACATACAGAACTCATTCAGCATAGACGATCATGGATGATCAGACGTGGTATCATCAAGGGGAATCTTTCTGTGGATTCAGCATTGCAGCGCCTTAATGGTTCTTGTCCGCTTATGCCAGAAGAGGTGAGATATTGTGCATCTTAACTGTCATCATAATATTCTTGCAGTTACATATTTCAAAGATAAAATAGTTCTGATACCCTTTGAAGAAAGATGATATGGTGGCTTGGTTTCTTTGATTGCCCAGAATCCAGCTGCAGAGTTACACTTCGTTGATGGAGTGATTTTATTAATAAGGAACAGGTTGACTAAAATTTTGACTTTTTTCTAAGCAATATGACATCACCTGTCATGTCATGCTGTGCAGTTGTGAAAGGGTACTGAATAAAACAGGTCAGAATGAAGCCATACACTATACATGGCTCATGACTTCTTTCAGTTGTTAAAGGCATCTCGGACTGGAAATTTATTAGTATAGGTAAAGTAGATGAAAGTAAAATGGGCTTATGTTGTAAGCAACTCTGCCTCTGCAGGTTGGTATTCTACTTCGTGCATATGGTTACTCATGGGATACAACAATTTTTGTGTCTGGGGGAGAGGTCTTTGGTGGCCAGAAGAATTTGATTCCACTACATGCTATGTTTGAAAATGTTGTTGACAGGACCTCCCTAAGCACACCATGGGAGCTAAATAAAATATATGGTCGTGAGAGTATCCTTATTGACAAACATCCAAGAACTCTGCCTTCTGTTAAGGAAGAACAGAAACAGAAACATGACGCATGGAAAACTAAAGGCCCACGTCCTCGCCCCCTTCCACCACCACCCGCACGGCCCAAATACCCATATAATATTGAAGGCTGGTGGGGTTGGGTAGCTGAGAGTGACAATGAGCCTGAGAGTACAGTTATGGAGTTGAGGACTAACGCCCACAAACTATTATGGGAAGCTATTGACTACGCAATCTGTGTGGAAGCTGACGTGTTCATCGCTGGATTTGATCATGATGGTAAAGGACATCCAAATTTTGCAGGCTTGGTAATGGGGCACAGACTCTATCAGTCGGCTGCATCTAAAACATACAGACCAGACAGGTAATTTTAGTCATGAAACCTCTCTTGGCAGTTCTTCTTTGTGCCTTTTTTTCCTCTTGGGTGGGAACTTCTGCACAAACAAATTTGTGGACCAAGCTCAATTTACCCCTTTTGTCCTGCAATCCTGCATAGCCCTTGCTATCTCTCTTCATAAAAGTAAGAACATCCCAGAACAGTTTAAAGCAGTGATAAAGAGATAAATCAATGTTAGGGTTTGACCTGAATCACTCTTTAGCTGCTGTTAATTAGTTTTGACGCCAAGACTGTTTTGGACTGAAATGTGAACATCTACAGCTCAATCTCATCCATCGATGAAATGAACATGCAAAAGATTGGATTGACCAGTTGAAGGTCCACAATTTTAGTGGGACTTTCCTTATTTCCCCACTAGACATAATTGATTTGCTTTTATCTCATCCATGGAAGAGGACATTGAGTGGTCATTTTCTGGACTTCTATGCAATATCTTTATTAGCCACATGAACCATATGCAGCACCCTAAACTACAGACATATGATAAACTGCATGTGAGGTTTGGCTGATTCTACTTATGCACTGTGTCATGCACAATAATTATTGACAATTGTGAAGCAGTGGTTTTGGTCTAATTCTATCTGTGACTGCTTCTCCAGAACATTTTAGAAATTACACGGACTGTTTGGCAGGAAAGATAAAACAGAGTAAGACAGGAATCGAAATATTAGATCGCATCACTTTCTTAACTCTTAAGCAATTGTGCTCGGTATGTTGTACACTTCATTCTCCAGTTTCATAATGGTTTTATTGTCATATCTATACTCTATCTTGGTGTCAGTTCTAAATTTACTTTGGTAGGTGTGTACTTTTATGCTCGTTGTTGCACTGCTGCGTGTGAGCCACAAAAGGAAGCTCCATGTATAAATAGAAACCAGGATGATTTAGTTTTTATTTATATGCACAAGACCTGCAGAAAACATGTCAATTTTCTGTGTCAATAACTGTTTATCATTTCTTCTTGTTTCCATTCATAGAAAAGAAGTTGTGAAGCTTTTGGAAGAGATACGAGACCACCTTTATCAAGCCAACCATACATGGATTAGATCAGTACGCAGGCATCTGCGAAGAACCTTACTTGATGGACTAACAGAAGATTCCGTGCGATCAAAGCCACTATCTTTTCTCTCTTTCCCAGTTCCTGAATGTTCTTGTATGAGGCATGACACTGCTGAAACATCATTCCATGCTTCAAGTCCTTCGGCTCACTCACAACTCCAACTTGCTATCGGAGTTATGAACCATTGCCCTTCTTGGATGGACAGTGATGTGATATCCCGACCAAGAGACAAGGACAGTGAAGAAGATCTTGACGAGGATGATTCTGCTTCATCTGGCTTGTTATTTGGGCAGACTGGAAAATATGAAAGTGGAGGTGGAGATATAAACAACAAAGAGGAAGCTCCAATGGAGGATCAAGAAGAAATGGAGGGCGGAGAAAGATGATGTGAGGCTGAATTAGATTGCCATACGATATCTCTTTGGGCGCCCTTAAGCAGAACCGGCCTTTGCTTGTTAGTCATGTACATATGACGTAAGTTACTGATTTCAGAGAGGTCACTAATTGTTTAGGATTCAGTTTTGTTCTATAGCTAGTCACAGTCAGTAGTTTAATTGTAGCCCTTCTTGGGAATATAGTCCTTCCTGTGAAGCAGTTTTGATTCAGCCCAATATATATTTTTGTAGAATACTGTTCTAGGAAGCATTCTTACTCTGCCTCAAATTGATGTAACAGAGACCCCCAAAAAAAGAAGGTTATTTGTCTGATCCACCTGATTGAATGAGCAATATGTGATCTTCAATCAATTGAACAAGTGAAAGAAAACACTGGGTTTTGTAGTTTGTGATTGTTATGAACAAAGACCACAAGCAAAATAAAATGAAACAAAATAGAAAAATAGTACATAAATTTATGTGAATCAGCTTAAAAGCCTATTCTACTGGAAAAATGCATCAGCAAAATATTACTATCAACAAAGAGAGATTACACAAAATTCTCTAACCCAGAAAATAAAATCCAAGTATACATGCCCAAAACTAGGGGCTAAAAACCCAAAAAAAATTGAGTGATCTATAATCTATTTAAATACTCAAAATATTTTATCTCTTAATACAATAAGGTTTTTAATTGGTCTTTTACTTGAAGTAGAATTCTAAGACATCTACCTTTTTAAATCCCTAAAGAGAATAAAGTTTAAATAAATTTCCTATTAGGGCTGGAATCCAAGACACCCACAACAAATCTCTACCTTAGCTTGTATTCCATCAAACAATCAAAACAAAAGCGAACTAACTAGCTGCCTTCTCCATAACTCCCATGAGAGAATACAAATATCAAAAACATCTATAACAAATCTCTGCCTTGACTTGTACATCCATCAAGCCATAAAACCAAAAGTGAATTTTTCAGCTACTTTCTCCACAATAGCAAATCTATTGAATCTCCATCAGCGTTGATCATAATATCTCATAAAGAACTTTTGTCAAAAGATTCGTCATAGTAACGTCATGTATTTGGATCTGCCGTAAACTGAAATTATTCTGATCACCAAATTTTTCAATTTCGAATTTTATTATAGTCATCCCGAAACTAATAGCTCTAATACCAGTTTGTTATGAACAAAGACCATCGAATTTTTCTATCTCGAATTCATCAAATTTTTTTGTTGAGGGTTATTTCAGCCAAGAGATAGAACCACCAGTCAAATTTTGGTGAATTACTTTTATTAACTCCATTATTACTACTGCTGTCAAAAATGAGATCCGCAGTTTCCTGTTGTATTTGCATGCATATGGCTGAATTTTCTCTATAAATTTCCTCCTGTTGAATTGAGTGAGGAGGGGATAAAAGGAGCGAGATTTCTTCCTATGTACTTTTACTGATGAATTCAAGTGGGAATTAGATTCTGACTTATATATCGATGAGGAAGGGATTAAGGGAGTGAGATTTCTTTCAATATATTTTTACCATGAATTGAAGTGGAAAATTTGTTTCACATATATATCATTGAATGACCGTGAATGATTTACCAAGTAAAGTGTGTTTGAGGGGATAAGTTTATGTCTTTTACTCATTCGACTCTAAGATTAACCGTCATAGTTTGAGTCAGTTTTGAAGACATGTTTTTTAAAAAGCAAGAATGATTAACTTTTAAGATATGTGACTTGTGAGAAATACCGAGAGATCTACTTTATCACTAGACCATCCTAAGGGTTGGTTAACATGATTGGAATATGAAGGACTGAAGGTACAAGTTTGGCCGTATCATGCCAAAATCATTTTCTTCTTTGGGTAAATATCATGGCATTATCTTAATGGGCAGTAATGGGTTTGCCACAACCATCGTCCTCAGAGTGAGAGTCTAATTACTTTACTATTGTGCCATGTTAATTTTTTTAATTTACTCCATATTTATTTATAATTGTATTTAATTCAATTCATATCACAATAAATGTCACTTTCTTCGACGTCTTGCTTGATTGTATGTTTTTGAAGTTTTCAAAAGCAAAAAATAGTAATATATGTTTGGACAATGATTTACAAACCTCCTCCCCCCCCCCCTCCTTCATCTCCAGTCCCATCTCTCTCTTCATTATCTCCTCTCAATCTCCACTCACATAGCAAACACACACAGAATCCACACACATCGCATAATATAAATATATATATACTCACACACAGAGAGATCTGTGTATATATGCAGATCTAATGAATTCAGTAGAGAGAGAGAGAGAGAGACCTCCGATGAGTGTTGGTGTCTGCTGAACTGAGTTGCGAGAGAGATGGGTAAAAATGCTTTTGACGAAGCTCGAAGTCCAGACTTCATTAAAGAGTAGTGTGGTGTTTCCTCTGCTTTCATTTCTGGCTTGAAAACACAGAGAACACCATTTAGATGTTTCTAAGAAATGACTCCAAATGAGGTTATATTTTCTAAAAATTGAGAATGAAAACAACTAGTCAAAAAAAATTTCTTAATTTTTGTCGTTACTCAAAAGAGAAAACAATTTAAAAAAATATAACCAAACAAAGCCTTAATTTTCTAGACTTTTGCGTGAAGCTCTATTAAGCGATTTGCATTGATATTGGACATGTAATTATATTTGTGCGATAAATATGTGTTTGTTAATAATAATAATTAAAAAAAAAACTCAAAGATTTGGCTACTGTCTTCCGAATTTGCTCCATATATTGACAACCCTGGCAATGTGGCTAATTGCCTATAAATTGCCATCATACTAAGATGCATTAAAAAATACAGCATTTTGGGACTCATTTGGGATACATGGAATTAATTTTAAAAATTTAGGAGTGATCTTAAAAGACACAACTACAACTTGACGAACCCGGCCCAGATCAAATCTAGTTCAAAAATTATTGATCAGCCCAGGTCATAAGTGTAGTCTGACCTAGATCAGAAATACAAGTCAATAAAAACTAAGCCTATCGTCTTGAAAAACTCAGTCTACTACTGATCCACGTGAGATCTCTATCTTAGGAAAAGAATTAGGGTACGCATTGCAAGCCTCAACCACTTCGTCTGTTACGCCAACATCATGGAGCCATCCACTCCCATCACAAGGGTGACGCTTTAATCAGGGCTCCCCGCAATGGCGCCTCCATCAAAGCCCACTCTGGGGCGCTATGAAGACTGTATTCCTCTATAAATTATAAGTCTCACCTACACATGAGGGACATCACACACATCTCAGCACACTATACTCTTGAACAATAAAATTCTCTAGCCACCATAACCTTTCTCAATAGAGTAGGTCACCCAGACCGAATCCACCGAATCTTTGTGTTTTGCATACGGTAAGCCATTCTTACTTCATTCGTTGATTGATTTTGTATAAAACTTTTGTATATCATCACATTTACAAAAGTCATCAAATCGACTTGTTTTGTAGGGTAAATGCTTTAGTTTAAGTGAGCAGATCGACTTGTTTCAACAAACTCTACTGAATTGGAATTGCCGAAGCACTACACAAGCTCAGTAGAGCTCTCAGACTAAGAATACTTGTCAAAGTTGAATATTTGTGGTTTCTATGGGCAGTGTACATGTATTGACTCACAAGGTTAACTAAATAGGTGAGATCCGGCCGAGTTAAGGTGAGGTACTATAGTGATCCAACAAGACTACGAAACTGTTGAGGGTCAGTGAAAGTATCATTAGGATGATCAATTTTGGTAGGTAAGGGAGTGGATATGGGTTTACAATTTTCCATATTTGCTCTACTCAGCATTTCTTGAACATATTTGTGTTGAGAGAGTAACAGACCATGAGGAGTTTGTATTGCTTCAATACCAAGGAAATAGTGAATAAAACCTAAGTCCTTGATGGCAAAGGTTGCTTGAATGCGAGTAAGAAATGTATAAAGTAAGGATGGAGTATCACAAGTAATAATAATATCATCGACATAGAGTAAAAGGATGAGAATTCCTTGAGCAGTATGTAGAGAAAATAGAGAAGGACCAGGTTGTGAGCAGACAAAGCCCAAAGAGATAAGAAATTGACTAAAGCGATCGAACCAAGCACGTGGTGCTTGCTTAAGACCATAAAGTGCTCGTGATAGTTGACACACAGGATTTGGAGAAGATTGATCAATGAACCCTGGTGGTTGATCCATATAAACATAGTCTTTCAAATACCCATGTAAAAAGGCGTTCTTCACATCTAATTGTCGAATTTCTCAATTACGGGAAAGAGCGATGGTGAGAACAATACGAATAGATTGAGGGCAAACAACTGGGCTATATGTGTCAACAAAATCAATGTGGGAATTTTGGTGAAACCCTTTTGCAACCAAGCGAGCTTTTAAGCGATCAAGAGTCCCATCAGCATGTAGCTTAGTTTTGAATATCCATTTGCAACCGAAAATGTTCATGTGAGGACGATGAGGAACAAGAGTCCATGTGTGATTATTTGCCAGTGCCTGTAATTCATCACGCATAGCAACAGACCATCTAGGATCGGCTAAGGCTGCTTTGACAGTCTTGGGTTCTTTTGGCAGATCAGTAGATGATGGTGGAATTTGGACATGAAGAAGGCCTACTTTTGATTTTCCTCTAGTGCGCATGGGGTGGGTATTATGTTGGAAACTTGGAAAAGTGGAAGTAGGGAGAGGACCAAGATCAACATATAATTCTCCTTGGTGCAGAGGTAGAGAGGTAGGTGAATTTGTATGGGAAGAGAGTAAAGTAGAATTTTTCCTTAATAATTGGAGCGTCAGGTGAAGCTTCGGGTTGAGAGGAACAAGGAGTGGTGGATGTGTCTGTCAGTGATAAGACTAGTGAGGTGGGAATGGAAATAGGTTGTTGAGAAGAGGAACATATAGGGTCTACTGCTTGAGAACAAGAAGGAAGAACCTGTGATAGAGAACCATTACTTCCCTGTGATGGAGAATCAGTTGAAGCAGTATACTGGTTGGCAAAAGAAGGCCTTGGAGTAAGCTGATATGGAGAAAGCCATTCATGAAAAGTGCTGAGATGAGTAGATGGATAAATTGGAGGTGCAGTAATGGTAGTTTGAGGAGCCATTGGAAAGCATAATTCATTAAAAACCACATGACGGGAGATATAGATTCTACCGGTTTGAGAATGGAGGCAATGATATCCTTTGTGAATAGCACTGTAACTAATGAAAACACAAGGTAGTGTTTTCTTCGAAAACTTATTTTTACCATAGTCCTTAAGATAGGGATAGCATCTGCAACCGAAGGCTCGGAAAGAAGTATAATCAAGATCCCTTTTGAAAAGTAGATGAAATGGATTATCCATTTTAAGAGAAGTGGATGGCAACTGATTTATCACAAAGGCAGCAGTGGAAAAAGCTTCAACCCATAAACGTTTGCTTAAGCCAAAATGAAAAAGCATAGCCATACCCAACTCACAGATATGTAGGTGTTTGCGTTCTGCAACACCATTTGTTCAGGAGTTGATGGACAAGATAGCTGCTGAAGCATTCCATGGGCTAATAAAGCAAGTAAAAATTCATTATCTCTAAATTCACCACCACCATCACACTGAAAGACTTTTATTTGCTTGTTGAATTGTGTTTGCACCTTGGCATTGAACTCCTTGAAGCAATTAAAGAAATCTGACTTGTATGTCAATGGATAAAGCCACACAAATCTTGTATAATCATCCACAAACAAGGCATAATACCTAAAATTTTGCATTGAATTTACAGGGGCTGGACCCCATAAATCACTGTGAACCTTGTCAAAAGGTAAAGAAGATCTCACACTAGCATTGATGAAAGGAAGTTTGCAACTCTTACCAAGTTGACAACTGTCACAAATATCAAATTTATTGTTCCAATCAGATACATGAATCTTATTTTGGCTAGAAAGATAAGACAAAATATTTTTATTTGGATGCCCAAGTCATTGATGCCAAATCTCTTCAGATGCTTTCCTTTGTCGAAATGAATAAAAGGCTTTTTGGCAATGCCTTAATGCATATAACCATCCATCCTTAGTTCCGATTGTCAGTGGCTTCCTCGTCTGTTTGTCCTTTATGGCAAAACCATTTAAAGAGAATTCAAAAATACAGGAAAATTTATTAGTAAGCTGTCCAACAGATAATAGATTTTTGGTAAGACTTGGAACCAAAAGAACATCATCAACTCTCAGCATTCCAAAATTTATAGATATATCAGAAGAACCAACATGAGTAATTGGGAGATTTACTCTATTACCTACTGTTACTAAATCATGCCTGAGATAAGGTTGAAGATTTTTAATATACCTGGATCACCAGTCATGTGAGAAGTTGCTCTAGTGTCTGGTATCCACTCTGGATCATGAGGATTAGATACTTGCATTGCAGTTAGAGCTTGTGGAATATCTTCAGTTTGAAAGGCGTGATTTTGTAACAATTTATGGCATTATGACCTTGTTTGTTACAAATTTGGCAAGGAATTCTGTAACAGTTTGATGTTGCATGATTTGTCTTGCCACAAATTTGGCATTCATTTGGCTGAGATTGACTTTGGTTAGAATTCATTCTGGAATCACTAGACTGCTGAGTTGAGAATTTACCTCCTTGATTTCTGTTCTGTGGTGACTGGATGAAACCACGACCCCTTGAATTGAAGGAGACATTTTTTCCTTTACATCTGTCTATCAGAATTTGGTTCTTGTCTAGCTTTGTTTTTATGTGCAACAAAGACCTGAAAATCATTTACCTCTTCCTTCCTAGGAAAAATTTTATTCCTTGTTTCATATCCTGTCACTGACTGAATGAACTGAGAATAAGAGGGAAAAGGAGGTTTTGCCATAATGGCATTGATAAGAGGCTCAAACTTTGATCCAAGTCCATTCATAGCCCACATAACTTTATCAGAATAAGTTAAATTTTTCTTGATGGCAGCTAGCTCATATCAAATCTGTTTGAATCTAGCCAAAAATTCAGTTACAGACTCGTGGTTTTCTTTGCGAATCCTTTGGAGATCACGATACAAATTAAACTCCCTTTCTTCAGAACTAGGTGCAAAACTTTGTTCAAGAAAATTCCATACCTCAAGAGTAGAGTCCATACCGATAATATGACTAAGAATGTTTTCTGAGACAGTTGCTGTGATTAAACTCGTCAATAGGCGATCTGTTTTTCTCCAAGACTTCTACTCTGGATTTGATTCTTGTTTTCCTTCATCATTGGTAATGAAAGGAGCTGGGTGCGTGGCATTGCTATGTAAGTGATCTAAGAGATCTACACTACTAACAAGATCTTGAATTTGGCTTTTCCAAATCAGATAGTTCTTGGAAGTGAGCTTCACATTCACCATAGATATCAATTGTGGGATATTAGAAAGATTAAGAAAGGTAGACATTTCTGTGGAGGTTATTTGTGGCTCTGATACCAAAAAGAAAAACTAGATTAAGCTAATAAAGAACCTCCTCCCCTTTTCCTGCCGAGGCTCTGTTTTTTATATATACAATGCATATGAATAATACATTTGGTAGACTTAGAATTATAACAAAACCAAAAGTCTAAATACTAGAGATAAGATAATTATGCTTAGCCTATTTTAATTCTATCCTTCAGCTGATTATATGGAGTAGATTCATCATTATCATTTGATGGAGCTTTGTCAGGAGCAATCAATGCAGCAGTCTTTGCTTGAGTGGAATTCATCACTTGAACAATCCTTACTGGAGCAGACTGTTGTGTAGTCGGTGGAGCAGTCCTCCTAGTCGGTGAAGTAAGAGCAGTCCTCCTAGTCGATGCAGCAGTCTTTATTGGAGCAGATTCTAAGTGTAGAGCGGTCCTCCTAGTCGGTGCAACAGTCCTTATTGGAGCATATTCTGAGTTTGGATCACTATATCTAATAGTAATGGCTACATCAACAACTATCTCAATCCAATCTCTATGATACCAGTAAATGTACGTTACTCTCCTCAAGCATTTTCTCAACTTCTCATCGATACTCTCTCCAAACAACTTCAGCTCTCTCTCTCTCTCTCTCTCTCTCTCTCTCTCTCTCTCTCTCTCTCTCTCTCTCTCTCTCTCTCTCTCTCTCTCTCTCTCTCTCTCTCTCTCTCTCTCTCACCTCATTTTAGAAATACATATACTTATTCTAGGCTCTACCCACAATTAGATCTGACAATTTTAAACACTACTTGTGATATCATTCATAAAATTGCACAGAATTAACAAGTTTGGATTTAGTCTTAACACATTCAAATTGTAAATGAGGGGACCCGTTAGACCTATACTAAATAAATAGGTTCATACAAATCTGATAAACAATAGTTACACATGACACAATCTCGACACTTTAAAAATCCAATTATACACAATTATAAATTTATGCGACTATAGATTGAACAAATTTTTAGAACACACAACTTAAACACAAGAACCTTGGATAACATGACTTATTGTCATTCCTACACAGTATATATTGCTTGGAAGAAGGAACACTTATCGTCTGTCGCACCAAATATTTCTCTCTCAAAATTAGTACATTTACTAATGCTACTTTTTTTTCTCTACAGAGCTTATCTAAATGGTTAAAAATATTTTTGGCATTTAAAGTATGTATGTTTTATTAGTTTGATCATTAAAATATTAATTTTATCTCTAAAGTATTTAATTTGTGTTCAAATGATCGCTACATAAACGGACCGTTTAAATTTTTAACAGAATGAACTTGTGTTAAATACCTGATATCGTCTGAAAAAATTACACGTGATCACTTTCGTCTTTGATTAAGGATCAAAATGACACAAATTGAAACTTTAGGGGCCACATTGATAAATTTAATACAATAAATACCAAATTGACAAAACGGACATACTTTAAGAACTAAAAGTATTATTAACTTTTTTATAAATTATGAGTGGCTCTTGCAGATTAACCTATGTCTGATTCAAAGCAATAAATTCACTTGGATTTTGTGTTGGATAGACAATTCGTGTTAAAAACTAAATTCTCACTATGTACTAATGGTCGATGGTTTCGAATTTGCAACTCTACGCTCCACAGTCAACTCTATAGCACATCTTCCCACCACAATCAACTCTATAACACATCTTCCCACCACAAAAGATTTCTTTCTCAAAGCCAAAGGAAAAAGAAAAAATAGCAATGACAACAAACTTTCATTAGATCATGTCATATAAATATATAGATTCCACACCACTAGCTAGCCTACCTTCAAATATATATATATATATAAGTAAAAGGCTCCAGACAATATACAATACTAATAGGTTCCTACAGTTCTAGCTGAAGGAAGAACCAAAAAAAAACGTATAATAATTGTCTTGAAGACCCATCAAAAACAAACAAACAAAAAGATTTCCTAGTTCTTAGATACTGTTAGCTAGGGGACTTCACTTTATATGTGGGGTGCAAAATTGTGAGCCTAAACCTAACTTTAGGGTATCATCAGTTATCAGTCACTCTTTCTTAATCCATAGGTTCATGATTGTTGATGGGTGGATTGCGGCGTGGGCTATCCATTCCTTCATAATCCTTGCGCATCAGGTTTGCGATTTTGTCTGCTGCATCAGCAAGTCCTTTTGATTCATCTTTCTGAGAAGTCTCATGTTTTTGATACTCAGAAGTCACTGTTTTGCTTGATTTTGAAGACGTGCCCAGGTGGGCTTTCTTTGAAACTGCCTTGGAACCAAGAGGTTGTTGAGGTTTGGTGTTTGATTGGACAGGTTTAATCTGTGATTAAAAGAACATATTGGTTTTAGTGTAGGTGGAACAGTATACAGTGAACTTATATAAGATAAAAATGAGGATATGTTCAACAGATAATCTTGGTTTGCTATTTTTTTTTGTGTGTGTGGGTGGGGAGGGGGGGGGGGGGACCTTCATTGATCAACGTAAAACTATTTTTAAGCACAACTTGTCCCCAAGGAATATGTTTTTCCTTTGAAAGTGTGTAGTTTAAGCATGTGATGCTGATTGTATCAGTATGTGATCTGTAGTTTAAGCATGTGATGCTGATTGTATCAGTATGTGATCAACAAAGAGCTCAAGTGGAAGTGTTTGTGTGAGAGAGGGAGAGACCTGAGTGTTCAAGAGACCTTCTGGTCCTCCAAGAGAATCCTTTGAAGCATTCTTATCCTTTCCTGCATCAAACAAAGAATATTAATACCACTATCCTCAACTCTATCGAATCCTATATATAAAGAACTAGGGTTGTCAAAAATGTTTGAAGCAATAGTATTCTCACAAACAAAACCGTAAGACTAATTAAAATGAACAAGCACCTTAGTAAATGAATGCCTCCAAGATATTTTCCATACATAAAAATTTGATAGCTTACATTCTTTGAGGGAGGAAGACCTCAATATAAAAAAAAATAAGAGGTCTTAAAAGAGCAAAAAATGCACTAGTTCAATTATTCTTAGCACCTAAAAGTCACGGGTTTGAGTCGCAGAGACAATCTCTCTGCTTGCAGGATAAGATTGCGTATATCTAATCCTTCCCAGACCTTGCAATGACAAGAATCTTGTGCACTGGATATACCTTTTTTAGTTATTCGTAGGAGGGTGCTGTTTTGGCATATGATAATCACCACTTAAAGCTACAAATCCATCCACACTTATACATTTCGAACTCAAGTCCCCTTTTTCCTCAAGATCATAACATGTTCTGGCAGAATCACCTGAAATCTTTGATGTTTTCCCATTTAGCTCTTCCTCTTTCTCAATCTTTTTCCTCAACTCTTTATCTTCCACCATTTTCCTTCCACCAACAAGCCCCTTTTTTGCAGCACCAGCAAGGAGAGCTCGATTAGTAAGTTCCTGTTTACATGTTTAAAGTAGTTAGGTTATGTGTATAGAAAGTTATGCAGATAAAAAAGTAGTGTCCAGGTCTAGGGAGTGATCGGGTACATAGCCTTATCTCCCTATGCAAAAAGTCTGTTTCTATGACTCGAACCTATTACACGTAGTTACGAAAAATTAATCACAAAACTACAAGCCTACCTTTTGAGTCGGTGCAACATCTTCTATGTTAGCAGTTAGCTCATTCATACTTCTTCCTCTCCCTGCAAAAAGAAGTTAAGAGACAAATATTACATCTCTGCCTGTCATATGCTTACTGCTAGGAAATTTACTGGAAAAAAAAAACTACCTACCTTGATGACTATGAGCAGAAGAGCTCCTTAGGCCATGCAAAACAAAGAGAAGACAGACTACCAAGCTTGTAAACCCCATGGACACCATTATTGAGTTCCTTTCTTTCTCTGATATGTTTGTTGGTTTCAACAACCAAAAGAGAAGAACATGAAACACACATTGTGGGCTTTATAGAGTCCAAAATCCAGACCCTCCAGTCAAAGCTAGGGTTTCAACACCTGTCTTAATATTATATGGCTTCTGGTTCCATGCAGGACTTAGGGAAAGTAAATTGAATAAATAATGATAAAAATAAATATTTGTTTAGGGGAAGAGAGAATATCTGTTTTTTTTTTTGTTCAGATGTCTGGATGAATGTGTTCTATGAGTTGAATATAGTGTGGTCCATCAGTGACCCCTTGGTATTCTTTAGTATTACTTTTTTTGGTGTTGATCATTAGAAAACAATTTAGGATTACTTAAGTGTTAAGCTTAAACAAGACCAAGAGAACCATCTAGGACTTTCTGTAATGGTAAATCATGAAAAGATCAGATTTTTTTTCAAAAGATACCCCTCATCTCTGCTGAATTGGGAGGCCCTGCCAGTTTTTAAGAGCTTAGTTTAACATGACCTAAGCTCAACCCTTTTATAGGGATTAATTTGTTTAGAATAACTCGGGTATAACTTGTTAAAAAATAGGTGTAGTCTAATAATATGAGGATTAATATGCATGTTCCGTCCGTCATACTGTAGGTCGTGAACTCATTTATAATATATTAACAGAATTTCACTATTTTTTTTCCGTTCGATGTGGCATTCTCATGCATGGTATCTAATAATCTCACCTTAATCACGTGTGAACCACATCGGGATTTAACTCTCTTTGTTTAAATCTGACCTCCACTTTTGGCAACACCATGTTTAAATCTCATCTTACATAATCTCACTCTTTCAAGAATCAAGTTTTTAATCGCTCTACACGAGCAGTTGCATCATCACTCTTATCAAGGGCCCTTCAGCCCGAACGAACGCCCATGCTGTGCTTCAGCAAGAGTTTTGTTTCCATGACTCAACCGGTACCACCTGTCCATCACCATTCTTGAGAGCCATCATTAATACTAACATGCCACGACTTTATTTTGAGAATTCACTCAAATATGGGTTATGCTCCCACTTGTTGGGAGATAAAGGGGTCCATCACAAGGTTTGTAAGAAATCATAATTTTGCAACTTAGTTGTATCTATATTTGGATCCAACAGTAGTCGTTATCTACATTGTTTGAACAAAATCTTAAAAAAAAGGCTAGTATGAAAATGATTAGATAGTCTGAGTCAGAGATTTGGTCCTCAGAATATAGAAGTAAATGAGTGTGACAAAACCAAGAGAGAGAATCCCTTGGATACCATTCATAGGGCTTGTGTCATTTTTTCTTCTTGTCCAACATGTAACTTTGGATTCTTTCATTTACAAAACTGATTTTTTTTAGTATTTTCATGCAGGATTTGGTTTTGAAAACCTTGACAAACATTATTCTTAAAGCCAAACTGTTGCCAACTCAGTCTTAATAAAAAAAAATAATAAAATGAGATTGACCAAATAAAGTAGTTTGAATCAGAGAATGACCAAACCATTTTCCACCTTGGTCAAAAGCTGAGAATCAGTTTGTTTATATATCAGAAAGATGCTGTCATTGTTGAAATTGTTTATTCCATGAAGACATCTGCATATTTTCATTCATATGGAGAAGTTGAGGCATTCACATAATCAAAATCTTTGAGAAGCATGCTAGAAATCACTCCACCCTACAAACCTATGGAATCCCAATACATGAGGTTCTTATAATTATGAGATCAGAAAGGTGTATTGCACCTAAATCACAATAGAACAACCTTAGTGATACACCAAAATTTCTCATGTCACAAAAATGAAATAAAACAAAAATATATTCTTCTCCCAATGTGTAAGGGGCAAAGGGGGTGGTGGGGAGGCATAGTTCCCAAAGAAGCATAAGCATGAAATGAAGAGCTTGAGGGACATGGGCAAGTGACTAGTGCATAGAATTACTAAACTCCACCGTTTTTCTAACAATGTATGAACTGGACATATAATAAAGTACAGCTTTTATGTAAGAAGTACTTTGAACACGAGGGCTTGGGCGTGTCCTCCAAGTTGATCCTATCCTCGTGGCCTTGCCCCTGCTCCTTTAGAACAGTGTGCATGTTTTCTTGAAAAGTCGGTTCAAATTGGCTTGATGTTGATTGTTGATAAATAGAATTAGTCGTGTTTCAGTTTTGCAAGGCTTGAAAAAGTTCGAGAATCCACCTCTGTGAGGGATCTACCTCCCCATTACCGGGGATATACCTCCCTCCAAGAGCAATCCTCCCCATTACCGGGGATATCCCGCTCTCCATCAAAGGATTTCGGCTGACCTGCGAGGCAAACCCCCACAGTAGCCTTTACCTCTGTCCCACATCGGGGAAAGAGTCGTCTCCCCACCCCCATATAAGCCGAAGCACCATATGAGAGCAGTACCCAAGTACTTCGGCTTATATGGGGGTGGGGAGACGACTCTTTCCCCGATGTGGGACAGAGGTAAAGGCTACTGTGGGGGTTTGCCTCGCAGGTCAGCCGAAATCCTTTGATGGAGAGCGGGATATCCCCGGTAATGGGGAGGATTGCTCTTGGAGGGAGGTATATCCCCGGTAATGGGGAGGTAGATCCCTCACAACCTCTCTAGTCAAAATGTGATAAAATCACATTTATATCTTTTAAAATGTATTATTGATGAGTAAGTTTTATACTTACGAATTGTATTGATGAGTAAGTTTTATACCTACGAATTGAGTGTTTTCCGCTTAATGAAATTGTAAATTTTTAATTATTTTATGTTCATTTTATTTGTTTTGTGTGTTTTGATGTTATTTTGTAGAAATGACCATTTGGGAGGAAACAATGTCAAAATTGGAGCCTAAATGTCGGATTTTTGAAGCGGAAGCTAAAGGGCATTTTAATGGAGTATTTATAGCGTACCATTTTGTGGCAGTACCTCAATTTTATACCTTTTTGACCATGATCCACTTCGAATCTGAAAAAGTGTAAAACATGAAAGTTGTATATCAGGATGTCTTTTGTATTGTGTCAAAATTTCAGCTCAATCGGCTGGTTGTATCAAAATTTATGACGATTCTACAAAAATTGGTCCGGAGCAGGCAGAATACAAGGAGGCGTGCCCCAGCGCCCAAACACTGTCCAAATCAGCGCCCCTGCGCCAGTGTGAGCTCCCCTGTGCGTGTGTTAATCCGTGACGCGAATTTTGACTTGTTTTGGGCCCAAATATTTAACCCTAAGGCTATATATATACTAGGGTTTGTGTGGGAATGAGATATTTTGACTTTTGGGGGCTGAAAATATTAGAGAACAACCAAGGAATTGAAAAAAAATTGAAGGCACGGATCGAAGAAATCGACACGAAGAATATTGGACTTGAAGGCTAGAGACGGATTGGAGACTATAACTAAATTTTTATTCTTTTCTCTTACCTTTACTTCTTGTTTTTCTAAGATGTTGTTTAATTTTAGAATGATGTCTTTCAATTACATTATGAACTAAATCTTTATTAAGATTGCAACGGAACCTATGTCTAGTTAAATTAATCTACTCTCGTTTCTAGTTCTTATTGATCTTATATGAGTTGTTTGTCATATTTTGTGATTAATATATGATTGTGTGGCTAACAATTAGTTTGATAACCTAGATGAAATTGAGAGATGAATTTTAGGTTTAGATCTGAATATGATGATATACGTCTGGTTAATTCTACTTAGGATTGAATTGCTGAGTTTATGTATAGGATAGGAATATACCTATACGCCGTGTGTAACTTTTATGAGAGTTTGAACTTAATAAATTTATTCCAACTTATTTTGCATAGGAATATAATAATTTAATTGGGATAGATAATTTTATCTAACTATCGGAAGAGGTTTGATAAATAAATTTGAGTTCTCAGTTAATAAATTATGTTGATCAATTAATTAGAAAGAGAGTTAGAGGGATTTATATGAAGCATTAGGGAAAGTTGTAATCTTAACTTCTTTTCTCTAGTAAATTCAACCCTTGATTGTTAAGTTTAGATTTAGTTTTAATTAGTAATTACATAGCTCAAATTCAATTGTTTAAATAAAATTGAATTGATATAAAGTTAGTACTTGAAATTTATTAATAATAATTCTCCGTGGGAACGATACTCTACTTATCACTTTATTACTTATTGATCGTGTATACTTGCACGTAAATTGTCAATACCAAATTCGGACAATAAGTTTTTGGCGCCGTTGCCGATGAATTATTCGAGTAATTATTTCAATATTAATTTCAATTAATTTGATCTTAGTTTAAACTTATTTAATTTTCTGTTTTAATTGTTTTCGCATGCACTCTTGAATTTTATATGCTAACACGATCTAAAGGTCAGGAGCTACTACCGTACGAAGACAAAATCGAGAGAAGGTGTCGAAACTTGCGAAAACAGAATCAAGAAGTAAACAACCAAGAAGCTATGGTTGAAGATGAACAAAAATCGTTAAGGGATTATGCTATGTCACTTGTTATAGAAATACAATCGAGCATTCAAAGGCCCACAATTCAAGCAAACAATTTTGAAATCAAGTCGGGTGTCATCCAAATGATTCAAAATTCATTGCAATTTGGGGGTTTGCCTAACGACGACCAAAATGATCATTTGGTGAGTTTTTTGGAATTTGCGACACGTTCAAATACAATGGAATTTTCGAAGATGCAATTAGACTCCGACTTTTTCCTTTCACACTTCATGATAAGGCGAAGAGTTGGTTGCATTCATTGCCACCAGGTTCTATTACTACGTGGATAGAGTTAGCTCAAAAATTCTTAGCTAAATTCTTTCTACCAGCTCAAATTGCAAGGATGAGGAACGACATCACATCGTTCGCATAATATGACTCTGAGACTTTGTATGAAGCGTGGGAGAGATTCAAAGACTTACTCCAAAAATGCCATCACCATGGCATTCCTTAGTGGTTGCAAGTTCAAACGTTCTACAACGGGTTGCTTAGTGCAACTCGGACC